GCAAATAAAAGAGTGAAGAAGGGTTCGGTCACCATGATTTTGCTTACTACTTGGGAAGTTTGTTTAGGCATTTAAAGATTGTCTTTAAACTTTCTTATTATGTTAAGAACTTATTATGTGGCTTCATATGATGGAAGACCACTATTAATGCCTAAATGTTTGAAGGTACTTAAATAAGTCTCTAAATGTTTAGAGCTAATTCCTTTTAAGTTAAAACATTGTGAATGTTTGTGTTATCATATTAATGTAATGTGATGAATGCCTTCTAATATATTATTTCCTTAAAGTAGTGTTATGAATTGAATATTGTCTTGTTGTATCCTAGTTGAGATACAAGATTTATATCACATTATAATGATATAAGTAATAAGAAAAACGTTTTCTAGGGTTATCACTTAAAACACAATAATCAAGGTCACTCTTGATTCAATTAGTAGTTTTGAACAACTAATTGGGCATTCTTAAAATTGTTTTAAAATGTTAAGTGTGTTAGTGATTAAAACCAAGAAAGAAGTGTCTAAATCTATAAAAGGTTTAAAGATTTTAATCACTTAATAACAAGGCATCAACTTAATGAAGGTTGAAACAGATGAGCTTGAAAGGTTTTAAAACTACTACACAATGTCCTCTACTCGTACATTCCACGTTTATACATTTTTGAATGTATGAAATAATTTCTCATTAAAGTCATAAGAAATAGTGGGAGGTGTTAAAATGGATATAAACTTGAATATGATTGGTTTATAGTTGTCTGAATAATAATAGTATTTGACTATTATTAAGAGTTTGAAATTTTAATTGTTAAAAGACTCAAGCTCTTCAAAACGTTAAAAATCTATGTTGTGTAACATTCTAAAGAATAGTCTTTGAATGTTGGTTTCGTCAACCTAGCATAAAATGGTTATATGTTGGAAGTTGTCCATCATTCTCTTTTACGAGAACAAGCTAATAACAAAGCATATGGACAAGTTGATGAAACAAAAGGGAATAGTTTCAAAATGAGTCACAACATATAGTTTAACAACAAGACAATTCAAATTCGTCACCTCATGGTTCAAATCATAAAATTTTCTTATATGATAGAAAATCTTTTTCATATGTGTCATAAAATCACAAAAGGGACACATGTATGGACTTGTGAGTAGATATCCAAAAGTGAAAGACCATGGGTTATCACTTTAAGATATTACTATATCCCAGGATCAGAACCAAAGCAACTGATAGAGTATTATTGCCTTTAAGAAAGGAACATCAAAGTGGGACTTTGGAAGCGTGCATTCACTTAGGTTACGAACCAAAGTGAAAATAACCCATTTTAACAAATGGAACTTCATAATGGATGAAGTACTAATCATATGAATGTATTGTTAGTATCGTACTACAATGGTCTCAAGGTTGGAGCAAAGTTTGTATAAAGTATACAAACGAAATATATATATCGATATATTGTTTTAGAAACTGCTTCAAAAGGTGTTTTGAATGGAAGGGGTTCTTTTAGAACCAATGATTGAATCCAAACCATAAGGTCGTTAGTAGGATACTACGACGTAATGGGGCGATAGCTCAAGCCATGGAATCAAGGTCTCATCAAAGTATTCGAACACAAGAAAGAGACATCATCAAAATGTTTTAGAAACATTTGATAAGTAAATCCCTTTTAAAATAAAAGGCGATTAAATACATAACCAAGTTAACCTACGAGCATAAGAGAAGGAGATTGTTGGATGTATAAGATACACTAGTGATTGACTTTAGTGCAAGTGGGAGATTGTTGGAAATATGCCCTGAAAGTCAATCTTTGGAAGAAACCTTTCAGGACAATGAATTGATGTATATATATGACTCTTATACATCGGAAGGCAAAGATACTAATTGGGACTATCTCAATGAACGAAATATGTCCTAAATAGTGAATCCATGGACAATGGATCGATGGAAGAAGTAACCTAATGATGTTAGGTTACAGAGACCTTCTTCTCATAACCATCATGTCCAAAAAGGTTCCTGGTCATAAGGATTGTCGGAGGGATACTGACAATCCATAGACTGGTACATACTATGTCCGCTTCAATTGGAAGGATGGAAAGTCTCATCCCATTCGTGTAGCGACACTAAGACAAGCATGTAGGTGCTCATTAAGGGAATGAGTTCACTGAACACAATCGAACGAGAGTACTTGCATGGAGGTCTACTCACATGTCAAGCAAGTAACTCTAATGGTTGGAATAATGTAAGTAATCCTTTGACCTGAGGCATCTCGTTGTCTTGTGGTTAAGTACTTAATCTTTGATTATGTTAAAGTCATTCCATTCGAGAGTGTCCAAGGCATCGTTGGGGTTAAGCCACTTAGCCATGAAGGCAAGTGAATGCGCAACAAGGAATCTCTAATCTTCGATAAGAGAGGATGAATACTCTAAGATATGATTCGGGAATCTTCGGCCGAAGTATCGAGCGTAATAAAGGAAAGCGTTCCTATACGTCTCAAATGAATCGTATAAGAAGGAATAATCACATTAGGGGTTTGACATTATAAATCCATACCCTAGTAATGTGATTGAGAGTATTGTTTTAGAGAAGGATCGAATTACATTGTAATTCCAACTGAATAGGTTCTCCGAATAACTTCTACATTAGCTTGGGTAGCCATGATATATGATTAGATGTCACTCATGGCTTGTGAGTTCTTCTAGATGATTAAATGTAGTCATTAAAAGGAAGGTGAATTAAAAGTAAGTTTTAAATCACTAAGTGATTGGATAATCAATTGGATTGGTGCCAATCACCTCACTGCCTTGCTAATTAGAACCTAAAAGATTGTTCACCGATACACTCTTGTAGTGAGTAACTAATGGATGAAGGAAATAATTAATTGGATTAATTAAGTGTTTTGATTAATTTAGAAGGTCTAAAGAAATCATAAAAGCGATAAAGATCGTTTTGGGCTTAAAGAAACGTTCGGGTTTAATCGGGCCCATTGGGCCAAAACCCATTGGGCTTTTATTCAAGCATTGGATGACTTGAAATAATTAAAAGCCCAAAGCCCAAATTAAACACAATAGGCCGGCCATATGAGAAGGGAGAGAAAGTAAGTCAATTGTTGATTTGTTTCTTTAAGAAATAAAAGGAACATAATATAATGAAAGTGTGTGTGAGTGTGTTAGGTAATTCATAACATACACAAAAGAAAACAAAATCATTCTCTCTAAAAACTTCAAAGGGCCGGCCACCAAAGGGAATTCTAGCTAATCATCTTATCACCCTTTGGTTAATTCCTTCATCTTTCTCATTACAAAGTGGGTGAGGATCTTTAGAGGTTTTCATATCTTTGGAAACTTGAAGAGGACCTAGGAGCACTCATTCTCAACAAAGTGGAGGAGGCAAGGAGGGAGGCTAGGCTCAAGGAGTTCAAGGAGCAAAGAGCTTGGAGGTGGTCAATCCTTGGTCTTAGATCTAGATCAAGAGGTACAAAACTACTCCTAAACTTTGTTCTTCAATAAATTGTTTTTGATGCATCTTATATAAACCTATGCATCTTGAAGGGGATTTGCATGACTATAGCTTTGATAAAATGTATGACATGCTTCCGTTGCTTTCGTATATAAATTTTGAATTGTATATGCATGCTAGTCACTAGAAATCCCACATAAATCTCATATTTTCCCTTCAGATTGTGAGTGCATAAACGGATCTAAGAGCAACTCCACCTCAAGAAAATTGCTTGGACGACTAGGCCATCCAATCCCCCAGCCTCCCCAAAATTACTCCAACCTTGCCCAATCAGCTGGGCTCTAGAGGGCCGGACCAAGCAAATGGGCTATTCTAGCCCAGCCTTGTGACGAGTTGATTTGATGTTGCCTGGCGTTAGCCACGTGAAGTCCTTTTTTCTTTTCTTTTTTTTCAACCAGGCACATGCATTACACACGCAAATATCGGCGAGTGAGCCAACACAAAGACATAGTCGGGGCCAACACTGCAGCGCATAGAGCTCTTCATGGTTGGGGGCAACGTGACTGTGTCTGGGCCGTTAGATTTCTGACAGTTAAAAAATTTTGAATTCGAAAAGAACGGCTAGTACACGTGGCGGATTCTAGTTCGTTAGATATTCCAATCAACGGTCTAGATTTTTCAAGCTTAAAAATTACAATTTATATATATTAGAAACAATCCTATTATTACCGTTGGGATTACGTGTCAAAATTTGGGCTTTTGGATTGACCATACAATGTAATCCAACAGTCCATATTAATTAGGTAAGATAAAACTTATAAAAAAATTATTAACAAATACAGAAAAACATCTCCACCAATTATGCAGCAGTGGAGGTGGTTGAATCTCGTTTTATGGTTATTAGGTTTTACTATGTGGTCACTTTTGGGCCTTTTCGGTTGGGCCTTGGCTTTTGGGCCGAGACACACTTTTTGTAATTTTTTGTTTTATGTATTGAAGGGAACCTTTACTCATGTAATGAATGCATAAGTAGTGCCCCATTTGTGCCTACCCTATTTATGGAGCTGTTATTTTATTTCCTCACTCATCTACCGTCTCCGTTGGACTTTGTTATAAAAATTCCCATTGACCTAAGAAAAACATATGAAATGCTTCTGACGTTCAAGGGTTTCTAGAAGATGAACATGGAGTCAAGTTTCGTTCAAGGGTTTCTAGAAGATCAAGAAGGAGTCAAGTTTCATTTAAATTTCTTAATTAATTTATTTAATCAGTATATCCTGAGTCTCCTCACATCCTTGAAAGGTTGGAAACAATTCAGCAAGTTTCTTCCCCTGGCACTTGGCCTTTGGTGTATATATGATGGTTCAACCCAATCTCAGCGAGCCCTGGACGTGTCTGAGACACAGAAGAGCCATATACACAAAGACTAATAAAGGTTCTCCTACTTGAAGAAGTGTCTTCCATGCGAGGTGCTAAAAAGTGACAACCGCTTTAACTTGGATCTTCATGTATTTAGACAACAGACGGTAAATTCGAGAATTGGGTGATCTTGGTGATGATAAAACCGCGCAAGCAGATAGATAAGGTGCTTCTCTTAGCACAAGTTACAAAAGTTGCAACTACATTTTACCATAAGAAAGAAACCAAAAGAAATTGACGAAAAAGCAACGGTGATAGGTTTAGAAATTACATGTGTTTGTTCACATATAATGTCATGTCACACTGCTTGTCACGGCCTGATAATAAAATGCTCGTCCCAGATCGGGCAGGAACAGGTTGCATGCTTGTTCTTCCATTCAGCTCCACAATTATAGCAAAACTGATGTCCACATCTACAAAGACAATAAAGACATGGTAAAAACAACAAGGGTTCATACAAAACTCATGAAACTATATATATAGCAGCATCCAAAAACAAAATGAAAAAAAAACACGAGTGAAGCCTTTTCTTAGTTTTCTTTGTAAGAAAGTCGAGAGAAAGTCGAAATGTCCTTACAAGAGAAAATTGCATTTGCGTCGAGATCTTGAGACACCATGTAAAAAAGTATAACTTTACTAGCAATATTAATGTATTGCCCTAAAATGTTAATCCACATAAGAACTCAAAGGAACTTCCTCGCAAATTGGAATGTGAAAAATAAAGAGCGGTGTTCATGAGAGTAAAAGGGTGTGCGGAAATCACTTCCCCTCTAATCTTGTCTTTTCTTTTCTTGGCTATTCTTTCATATGTAACATTTCAAAGCTTTCTAAATTAAGACAGCCAAAAGAATCACAGAGGAAACCTAAAAATTAATCAGACTGGAGGGACTAGAAGCGTAAAGCACAAGCACCTGCAAGTGATGTGGTAGCAACCACTATCAAGTTCAACCATATGATTGCACTTTGAACACTGGCGCCAAAGTTTCTTCGACGCAAATGATTTCAACAATTGGTCTTCCACGCAGGAATACGTTTCCGATCTCTGGAAATCGTAGCAGCTCATATCATAGTGCCAAGGAACCTTGCAGTTGATACAGAAATAGTGTTTACATTTCACGCACTTCCTGCCTCCCTCACCAACAAAAGAAGTCTTGGTATTTTCCAAGACCTCCTGTTTCGACATTAGTGCAGAACACCTCGGAAATGGGCAGTAAACCTTCTCCGTAACAGGAATTGAAGACTCCTTGATTCGTTCGATCAAAACATTGGCTAGTTCAGACGACAAGAATGTCTTACAACTATCGACATTCACCTCACACTTACAGTCTTTATGAGGGCATTGTGCCACGAGCCCGCCTTGCAAATTTATTTCGACGTGATGTTTCAAGCAAGGCAAGCAATATTTGTGTTGACAAGTACCAATCGAAAGCATTCGAGCAACATCAATGTCTTCAAAACAAATCAAACAAGTTTCCTTCACACTCATGGCTTTGCTAGTTCGGGCAGGTAGAGGGGTTCTTAGAAGTCGTTGTATCAAATGTATAACGCTGCTTGCAAGACTCCGTGAGTTCGTAACCTATTTGTTATATATTGTCAGTCTTCTCCATCAATTGCAACAATATAACAAAAGCTTCTGTGCTAACTAAAACAGTAAAATTGAAATGATGAAGCTACTTTAAACTAACATATCAACCAAGTTATCGTCACAGGAAAAAGATGAACCTTTTCAACTTCAAACCGCAAGCTCCGTAGAATTTGAAGAAGAAAAGTTCGTTCGCACAATTTATCAGAGCACCACTCAGAGTAGCTTTCGGTTGCGCGTTCTTGATGGAGAAGAAGCAAGAATTCAACCAAAGAATAAGGATTGCAGAAGATCGTACCGGTTTTGCAGAGAGAGATTGCAAAAGCAGCGTAGAAGTCAGGATCGAAGACACCGATCGGCCATGTACGGCGAAGATACCATATGGAAATGAAGAAACTAACCTCAACAGTGAAGTTATAGAGAAAAGTAGAGAGATAGAATTCTAGAGAGAGAGTAACTGCTTTCTGCAATTTTTTTTTGGCAAAATTTGCAAGTGATCTCAGTCCAACATGACTTGTTTGGAATTTTTTTTTAAATATTTAAAAGCATTTTTAATAATAAAAATTTTAAAACCAACTTTTATTAAAAATACAAGTAAATATAAAAAAAATACTTAAATATGTTCTGGAAAATACTATATAATCGATGCATCATGCAAAAAGTACTTCAACCCCATAGACTTCTCTATTGGAATTTGGAACCGACTCAATTGGACAGATTCTAACCACTCCATTGGAACCGACTCAATAATTTTAAACCTCCCAAGTTAACCAAAAAAAAAAATATCTTTCCTCTCAAATTCACCGAAAAAATAAAAATAACTTTCCTCTCAATCTTTTTGACACCTGAAAGCATCTCAAGCATTGATATCTTGACACCCTCACCCCCACAGTCCACACCACAAAACGATCCATGTTGTAAAGGTTATGAAAATAAATGCTCACATATTTTGGCCTAAGATGAAAAAGTAAGGAATACTTAAGAATAATAGTATTGTTGTTGCTACATGATTCATAATGCACTCATTTCACTTTAATAATTCTTCATAGATATAGTTCTATATAAAGAGTATTCCGTGTATGATCATAATACACAACACAGAAAAAAATGAAAGCAATAATATCAATATCCTTTCATTCCTTTCATTCTCTGCAATCTTTTTGTGTTATAGTTACAAAAATAAACATGTATCACGTTGCAACTACTTCACTCATGTCTCTAGCAAATGTTACCTCTCTAACTTTTGCCTATTTATAACAATCTAAGATTTTGAGATTCTTTCTAGCTAGTTTCGAAATATCAAAATTTCAAGAGATTTTTCAATATGCTCAGATCATAAAATAATACATAACATGTAATTATATATTTAAAGAAACACTTTAAAAAATAACTTTGCACTAATTATATAATTACATGTGACGTATTGCCTCGTGTTTCGAACACAATGAAAAATCTTACCAAATTTCAACTTCAAATCTTTGAGTTTTGACGAGAGAGAGAGAGAGAGAGAGAGAGAGAGAGAGACGTGGTCATGAGTCATGAGGAGTCATGCCTTCATGCATTGCGAAAGTGGAGAAAGAGTAGCACGTAAGGTTTGATTATGAGTATAAACCAGAAGGGTTTTCGTGGTACGTCTTTTGGAGTTCTCCACCTTAATCAATTTCACAACAATAATTTAGGTTCTATTTGGTATTTGATTTGAGTTCAAAATTTTTAATTCAAAAACAATTTTTAAGTTTAAGTCCTAAAGTAAGCTGTTTGGTAAGCCCATTGTGCAAAAAATGAACTCAAAAAAAATTTAAGAACAACTCGTTATGATTTGAGATCGCCAAAAGTCAGGTTTTGTGGTTATAATGTGTTCAACTAAAGTCATATGGAATTATCTATTCAACATATTATATATTATTATAGAAATGCCAGGAGACTCTCTTAAAAGTGGAACTATTCATGGACTCTTTGATATTAACGTCAATTTCCACACTAACATTATAAAATATTGTGTAAAAAAAAAACGAAAAGAGATGCAGCCACTTAGTACTACTATATAATGGTATTCCTCTTCACTTGTAAGTAAGAGGTCTTAGGTTCAATTATTGTCAAACGCGAATTTGAACCACATTATTGCTAACCCATTATAAGGCTTAGCCCACTTTCCCACCCTTTTAGTGTAAATAATATCGTTTGTTAAAAAAAAAAAAAAGTTCATAGAAAGTCCTACTCTTGAGAGATTTCCTTTTGCATAAATGATATTATCAAATGAGAAATAATAAACACACACCCTTTGTAGACAAACGCTCCCATGTTTAGTTTTCGGCTGTTATTTTTGTTTTTTTATTCAATTAGATAACCAAAAATAAAAATTCGATAACCAAAAAAAAAAAACAAAGGAAAAAAAAGAATTGTGTGAGACTAAAAGAAATGTGTGCAAAAATTATCTTTCGATTAATTATCCTTCTACAAGGGTGTCTGTTGTGTTGTGGCATAGAAAAGGGAATGTCAGGAAGCTTCCTTCTCTATTTCTTGGTTTTTTACACAAAGCAAAGTGACAGTACACATTTGGTGTTCCTTGTTCTTATTTTTTTTCTTCTTTAGCACATTCTCGTCTAGGGATAATGTGATGTCCCACAAAATATAAACTCTGTTTCACTTTTCCTTTTTCAATGAAATAAGTCTTGATACTTGATTTTCTTTCTAGTTGAAATAATTGACATGCCTTCGATTTGTAGTTTAAATTGCAGCCCTATTTGGTATGAATGTGAAGACTTCGATTGCATCTGCCCGTTAAATTCATTTCAATCTTTAAACGTTTATAGAACGATGAAATTTTGTATTGTATGTTATATGTACATTGATGTTAAAAGTATTAAGTAATAGTCCTAGTTGAAGTGTCTCAATACTGTATAAACGCAAACCTAATACTTTGTCCATCTAATCTAAATCAATTAACCAATCTTGATTTGTTTTTTTCTTAACTTTATACCATTAAAGTTATGTAAGACTCGTGCTAATTGAAATGGATGGAATTTGCAATAGAATTGTAGCTCACAGGAGGGTTATATTTAGGTCACTCTTGGCTTAAATTTGTACAAAATTTGCCTCTAGTTGCAAGTCAAAATAAATTTATTAAAAAGGATCAGGCTACAACCTTTAGTCTCGTCGTTATTATAACTTTTAGAGTGGGCCTGTGTTTTTAACCTTTGGATCAAATTTCAAAGACTCAGATTGTTTGATGATGAGGATTAGGTGGAAGAGATCATAAGAGAATTCATTTCCTAATACCAGTAACAATCAAACAAAAAAGAAAAAGAAAAGAACACCCTAATAAAACTTATGGGGGTAGATTAGTCATTTGAGTAAAAGGAAAAAGAAGAACCCTACTTCTTGTCCTTTTAACAATTAATTGATGAGGAGATATATTGCAAAACGTGGACTACCTTTAGCTTTAAAAACCGACCATGTAAAGGTTAAATGTGAAATAATTGTGCATTGGGTTCTGCTAAAGTTCACAAAAATTGGACTACATGCCATTTCAAAAAGATAATGGAACTTAATTGGCTCTTTTCGAAGAACATTTCTAATGGTTCCTTAAAGGAGTCTGCTGTACCTAAAATGTAGACAAAACTTAGAAATATTCATCTCTAATCACACTCCCTCACCATACTCCTTGTAGTCATGGATGCGTGTTAAAGAGACAGTGAGGTTGGATACACAAATCATTGATGAAATTACATATTTATGTGATATTAAGGAGGAGGAGGTTAAAAAGTGAAGACAATACAGAAAAAATGACCATATCCCAGAAATGGTGAGGTGAAGTCAATATCCCAAAAATTCTTAAATTTAAGTAAAATTGACATATCGATTAAATATCAACAAAATGCTATAGGACATTCCATAATGTTTCATTTCAAATTTCCACATTTTGGAGCCAACTTTCATTATTTCTATCGAAGACAATAGATATCAATATGATATATTTATTAATATTTTCATAAATTTACATATCAATATTTTCACTGCTACTGATATTTTAAACACTATATGTAACGGATTGGGTTGGATAGTGGTGAAGATAAGCTGTCGAGGGAGGTTCGGTTGACGTGTACAAAAACTAGGAGACGAAGGTGAGAGTGGTGGCGGATCATGTCGGCAGGCTACAGATACCTTGCACTGTAAAATGCAACGGTTGTTTGGGTCTCTCCCAATATATTACTTGCAAAGTAAGAAAAAGAAAAAAGATGATGAACGTAGGCGCATGCGCATGCGCATGTGCATGTTTTTGTAGTTCACCAAAACTCGGAAGAAGCACGGAAGATCCCCACTTGTGTCACACCGCAAACTCGAGATTTTGTACCTTTGAAAAGTAAAAGTTTACCGCAATTAATAAAACAATAAAAACAAACAAATATTTAAATAAATTATTTACCATTTCCACGTTTTCGAAACTTCTCCTCTCTCTCTCTCACGTCAATTGCCATCTCTCTCTCTCTCTCTATCTCTTGCTTTCTCTCTCAAGACTCTTTCTTTCTTTCCTTCTTTTTATTTCTCAAAAACGCACACGGATTATACTTTCTTTCCATATTCTCTCTTTGTCTGCGGTTAGAATTGGAAGCTCTGAGAGCTCCTGATTAAATCTTGGCTTTTGATACAAATTCTAGTTGTTCCCACTGTAATGGGCCTTCCCGCCGGGATTCTCATCGCCGGAGCCATTCTGATGTCGGCGGCCGTGGTTCTGTGCAGTTTTCCGGCCACCCTCACCCTCGAGAGAGCTTTTCCTTCGAACCACCGAGTGGACCTGAGCCAACTCAGAGCCCGGGACAGAGTCCGGCATGGGAGGAGGCTTCAGTCCTCCAATGGCGTCGCTGATTTCCCTGTTGAGGGAACTTACAACCCCTTCCGCGTTGGGTAATTTGGTCTCCTCCTTTGGCCCTTTTAATGGGTTTTTGATGTGGGTTTTCTCTAATTTATGGATTGGTTTGTGTGTTTGATTTGATTTGATTTTGTGGATAATGGGTTGCATTTTTAAGTTGGGTTTCTTTCCTTGTAAGTAACAATTAGTTCCCTGCTGTGGTTATTTGTAAACCATCTCTTATTTCTTTTTTTGTTTCTTTAAAAGCTGTATAAGTTTAATGCTGATTTTCTTAATTGTTTTCTTCTGCTTTGATTTTTTTTTCTCTAAAATTCTATATTCTTAGCAGTAATGGGTATTTATCATCGAAGGCTTTGGAGAATTGTTACTAATTCTGTTGTTTTTTCTCGGAATTTATTTCCCTTTTTAGGCTTTATTATACAAAGCTGCAATTGGGATCTCCTCCAAGAGATTATTATGTGCAGATTGATACCGGAAGTGATGTTTTGTGGGTCAGTTGCGGTTCCTGCAACGGTTGCCCTGAAACAAGTGGGCTCCCGGTAAACTCGCATTTCCTTACTTTCAACAATCCTATCATGGTTTCAATTCTTTTTTTCGAGTTTTTGAAAGCTTAGGAGCCATATTCTGCTACAATTTTTGAAATGGTTGCTTGTAACTCATACAGATTCAGCTCAATTTGTTTGATCCTCGAAGTTCATCAACGTCACAATTCATTTCTTGCTCAGATCGAAGGTGCAGTCTTGGATCTCAATCGGATTCTGTTTGTTCCACACAGAATAACCAGTGTTCGTACACCTTCCAGTATGGAGACGGCAGTGGGACATCAGGCTATTACGTATCAGACTTGTTGCACCTTGAGACGATTCTTGAGGGTTCTATGACCCAAAATTCTTCAGCTAATGTTGTCTTTGGGTGAGTTATAATGGGCCTTTCCAAGTTAAATAATTGAATTATACTCTTTTGTGCATTTTTCTTGAATCTTGAAAGTCATTCTCTAGGATGGTGAAAACAGGTGTAGCACCTTGCAGACTGGAGACTTGACAAAGTCAGACCGAGCTGTTGATGGGATCTTTGGGTTTGGCCAACAGGGTATGTCTGTCATCTCTCAGTTGTCTTCACAAGGAGTAGCACCAAGTGTCTTCTCCCACTGCTTGAGGGGAGACGATACTGGTGGAGGTATATTGGTTATCGGCGAGATTCTGGAACCAAATATAGTCTATAGCCCGCTTGTCCCCTCACAGTACGTTCCTTTCTGTAATTTCACTGCACATCTTACAATATCACCCCGAAGCTAAAAATATTTTGTGGCCTTCTGTTATTTCACAATAGTAATCTGACTCCATTATAGCATAAGTTTACCTAAAACCAAACAGTTTTGGTGACACAAATAAATCACCTTCAGAATATTGTTTTGGTATGGACAAATAGAGCCTTGTGAACAAAAGGGCAGTTCACTTGACCATTCAGAATCCTTTAAAAATTAACTAGTCCTGCATATACTTCTAAACGAAATTTTTTTCTGACATGTCAAATATTAGGGACTTATTCTTTTTCATTTTTGTTTCCTGCTATATTCCTGAGAATGAATAGCATAAACCTCACTGATGTGTTTTTGACTAACCATTTGGACATTTAATATTTCAGGCCTCATTATAATTTGAATCTGCAGAGCATTTCTGTCAACGGGCAGATATTACCCATTGATTCCGCAGTGTTTGCAACATCAAGCAACCGAGGAACTATAGTCGATTCTGGTACAACTTTGGCATACCTCGCAGCTGAAGCGTATGGCCCTTTTATCACTGCTGTAAGTCTCACTTATGTGATTTCCTATAATTAGTCTGTTTTGGACATCATTCTGGTGCTTCGGGAGAAATAAATGGAAACATCATGCTCTTTGATATGTTACGCTAGTCAATCTTTATGGTGATGACACTGAGTATTGAATTTCACAAAGTTTGGGTAAATAAAGCTAGAAAATTTTCAGTAATATTTTTCCTTGCCATGCAGATAACAGCTTCTGTTTCACAATCTGTGAGCCCTGTTGTTTCCAATGGCAATCAATGTTATTTGGTCACCTCAAGGTTAACTTTCTGAATCTGTCGTCTCCGTTCTTTTCTCATTTTGTGCTTTCTGTTTTGTAATGGTTTTCTCTAACATGTATGTGTATTTTGTGTTCAGTGTCAGTGATATATTTCCTCAAGTTAGTTTTAACTTTGCTGGTGGCGCATCCATGATTTTGAGACCTCAGGACTACCTCATACAGCAGACTTCTGCCGTAAGTTTTCTTTTTAGATATTTCAGTTACTAAGAACTTGCACGGACATTTTGTTTTCTCACAATACTGATGAATAAAGTGAAATGCATCTGCTTCTTCTAGTGGACAGTCCATGTGATGGATTTTCCAATTGCATATGTCTTCCTTGGCTATTCTTCAGTATACATCCTGCTTCATTTCCTTCAACATTTCATTCATTAACAGTTTCTCTCCACTCACTAGCATTTAGAACGAGTAAATATTGGAAAGTAGAAATGGTTTTGAGCTATAAGATTTACACTGTCCATACATTGCTTGTCCTTTATTTATACCTTATGTAAAGCTATAGTCTTGCTGTCTGAATCATTATTTGAGATGGGTAAACTTCTTGTTACAGAGTGGTGCTGCAAGGTGGTGCATTGGTCTTCAAAAAATTCAAGGTTCAGGGATAACGATTTTAGGAGGTATAGACACCAAACTGGAAACTTTTTGTCGACTAATTAATTTTGTGGATTCTGTACTTTGAAAGTTTATACTCCCTTATCGTGAATTCTGTGGTTGGATGTATGTTTAAGAGTTTTTCTTAATGTGATATTCCCCTTGCCAGACCTTGTGCTAAAAGACAAGATTGTTGTCTATGATTTGGGTGGTCAACGAATTGGATGGACTAACTATGACTGTAAGTTTCCGTATCCTACCTGATTTATGCAATCTTTCATTCATATCTTTTTCGCACTTACTCTCGAAGCTGTGAGTTTATGCCAGCAGACCCAGCACTAAACTTTGACCCGTTGTATCATCTTTATTAGGTTCAACGTCAGTTAATGTTTCTGCAACGGGTAGAACTGGAAAAAGTGAATATGTCAATGCAGGACAGCTAAGTGACAGCACTTCTTTGCATAATGATCACTACGAGCTGATACCAGCATGCATGTTGGCTTTCGTTTTGTTTATCATAACTGTACAAGGAAACTTGTTTTTATAGCATACGCTTCCAATATCTGGGGTTATCATATCATTCTTTTTTCCACTGTATATCTCTAATCTTGCTGGTTTATATTCATAGGTTTGTGTTTCTTCTGAGATTGTTTTCATCAAACATGTAGAATTACACGTTACCCTGTCGATAGGTTGTAAAATACATTTACGTGTAATTGGTTCAATGGGATAGTAGTTTATACGAAACTTCCTTCATGTCATTCCATATTTGCACCGGTATATGCTTTGGCACAGATTCGCGTTTTTATTCTTTTTGCAATTATTATGAAGTGAATTGTAATTACCTAGATCTTATCAAGATGTTTGAAACTAGATTTTTAAGGAGCTAATGTTAACTAAATGCTAGATTTATTTTCGCAAGCAATGATCTCTCACATTTGCTTTAACATGTGATGTTCAGTTCTTTGACAGTGCTTATCAATTGTGCTCATCTGTTTGCGAGTTTTACGCGCAAGGAAGTAAGACTTTTCAGGTAGCAAAGCTAGCTCTTCGTATCTATGGCATCGTGCAGGTGAACCTCGCTACACAACCAATTGTTACTCTAGCATCTGCATACAGGCTTACACCTTCCTGTTACCCGACCTACATGAAAAAATTCCGTAGCTCCCTTAGAATTTAAGCCTATCTGGCCTCGTGAAATCATTCATATAGCCGCTGTCGGAGCGGCCGTAACATCCCCCTATTTCCACCCGGCTCCTCAAAAGAGTCCCTTACCCAGATTTGATCCAACAGTTTAAGCTCTGTTACAGCGGACCATTGGACCTGTAGGAGCTCGGAGGAAAATTGATCTGCTTCCCCCTGCTGTCCCATTTTTTCAAGTTTCTGGACATGGTGATTTGCTAGAGGGTCTGTTTTCCTCCTCTTTTTCCAAAGGAGGAGAAACTTCAAGGCCGGGATTGTTTTTCCTCCTCTCTTCCCAAGGGAGGAGAAACAATCCCAACCTTGAACTCCCCGAACATGGAAAAGGAAGTAATGTTGTAATCTTCCTCTTTTCCCCAAAGAGATGAAACACCAACACTGCCTATATTTCAGCAGTAGAACACATCATCCTTAATGCACAATGCTTAAATTATGCGGCCACAAGAAGTGAAGAGATAAAACTGAAGAGCATTTAAAAATCCACATTTTAAACGGAAAATTAATGAACAAGGCTTCAAAACTTTGAATTTTAACAAAAAACTATCTAATAATTTTATTTAATAATAAGGACAAAAGAAAAAAAAAAAATTATCAAGCGTGCTTGCAGTCTCTACATCTTCCAACTGCTTCTTTTTCTAGTATTCATCAATTGGGGTCCAAAAATTGCCTTGCCCGAAGCAACTCCAATCATGGCTACTCCAATATCTATTTTACAACACTTACCTCTATATTTGTAAAAAAAAAAAAAAATATATATATATATATATATATATATATATATACACGCGTGTGCACCCTAGTATCTATTATATATTATGGACATATGAAGCACTAAAGAGTACCTTGTACGACTTTATTTACCAAGCCACTAGCTTTTATACCTACAAGTTTGATTTACATGATGCACCATTGAGACGAATGCAATGTTCCCAGCAATTTCCATCCACGAACCACCAGCACCGTGAGATGCTTCGGAAATTGTATGGTAACCAAAATTTAGGATTTTTAAGTTCACACAGATATTGAAATGATTGAAGACTTGAGATGCTTCTGAAATTGAAGGACATGAAGCGAGGGTACGATCTGGGCTCATATCTGTGGGTTCATTCAATTTTATTGATTTTTTTTGCGTTATTTTTTTATCCTGCAAAGGGAGAAGGTGAGATTGTAGGTGGAGGAGAGAAGGAAGCTGCATATGGGCTGACAATAGAAGAAAGTTAAGTAATTAGTGTAGAAAGTTAAGAAATTGAAGAGATACAGAGAAAATTTGATGAGTATCGAAGAGAATTAGAAGAAGAAAATGTGTTTGGAAGGTGAGAATGTGCCAAGAAAATTCAAGTAGGGGAGAGACAAGAATGTAGTACCGTTAAGTTTCATAAACAGTGTAGTACTGTTAAGTTTCATAAACAGTGTAGTAGGTTCATAAACAATATCATAAGTTTCATAAACAGTGTAGTAAGTTTCATAAACAGTGTAGTACAGTTAAGTTTCATAAACAGTTTGTGTGAGAACTCGTAGGTCCACGCCTCAGATTTTTTTTAAATTCTTCTTAATATTAAAATTAAGTCTTTTTCATTAAAATTTAAGTTCTTTCATTTTTATTAAAATTTAAGAATTTTTCATTACAATTTAAGTTTTTTTCATTAAATAAAGTTATAACATGATTTTTTATTAAAATAAACTTAGCTCAAGCCATTTTCATAGAAGTTTTTCTTTAAATGCATAGCATCTCGCTTCAAATAAATTTTATATAACTAGGTGGGTCTTTAATTAAGCAAAATGAAGTCTTAATTAACGTAACAAATTAATTAACATGTAAAGTCCAAAGCTCAATTGTTAAACTTGCTAAACAGCCCAGTGAACATAAACCTATACTATGTGAATGCATATGCATGCCAAACTTATTTGAGTGGATGTCTCTAAAACGTTTGCCATTTTTATGATCAGGAGTACGAGAGACAAATTTAGATTAAAAGAGTTACAATGGAAAAGTCATTACAAGGTTAGGGGTTTTGTTAAGAATTGCCAATTTTGCACTAACATTTTGATTGTACTATAAAGGTATTTTGATGTTGAACTTGTTTCAAGTTGAGTTTTAGTATGGTGATCATCATGAAATATATACATATGTTTTTCTTCTTTCAATTGGGTTTGCATTAATGGCATAAAAAGCATTTAGTTTGTAAAAGATTAGGTTTTGAACTTTTGAGTTTATTTGAATGTTGAATACTTGTATTAATGACAATTTTTAACAGGCCTACAAGTGAGGCACAAATCAAAACCAAAACTGTTTGAAATCAAACCAAACCAAAACTAAATAGTTTGGTTTCATTTCGGTTCTCACCCAAAAATCGCACTAAACAGAATAAATTTTGATTTTGCTTTTATTCTAAAACTGCACTGAATCAAACTGTACCCAATTCTAACGGCCGCGGTCACATTGAGGCATAACGTCTCTGGAGGTTCGGTTTATTGAGAGAAAGAGAGGGAGGAGAGTTTAGTGTGTGAGGAGAGCATAGTGAGATTAGGTGTGTGTTTGCATGTTGTTTATACAGAAACGGAAAGAAATTAAAGACATGCAAAAGGGAAGTAAGGGCTTTTGGGTTGAAAGCGAGAGCAAAATCAATAGAAATTGACTTCTGATTTCTTCACCAGACCGCCACGTGAGTAGCCAAATGATTTTTTAGAATTATGCCGTGGATGTTTTTTTTATTTTTTTATTTTTATTTATTTTTTTTTGAATTATGCTCTAAAATGGTTAAATGACGTTTTTTAGTGTAGATAATATTGTTTGTTTAAAAAAAAAAAGTTTAAGTCACGTGGTTAGGTGGTTAATTGGGCAGTTGAGAAAATAATGAGAAGGGCACAGAGGACTTTTTATTTTTTGTTTGGAAGTTTTAATTTAATTTAACGATCTAATAATTTATTTATTTATTTGGTCAAAAGATAGACTTTATTAAATTCTAATGGTAATGTTTACATCTTCAGCAAGAATATTAAAAAGAAAATCAGGACCAATAACATCCATAAATAATTTGATTTTGTTGAAATTTGGTTTTTGGGATTGGAATTTATAAGACGATTGATTTTATGATCAGATCCATCTTAAATTGTTTGGTTAGGCAGCTAATCTAAACTACATATTAATATCTTTTTTTGTCCATTAAAAGAGGGTAAAAGATTATTTAATCTTTTATCACAACAAAAAAGTTAGGGGCATAAATGTAATTTTACCAAATAAAATTTTGTTATTTTCTGTTTAAACCTAATCTACAGGCGATTTTAACATCTCTATTTTTTTTTTTAAAGAAAGATAAAAAATAAACCTCTCCCTCTCTCCCCACTCCCACGTTTACTCTCACTCTCTTCCTCTCTCCTTTCATTTTAAAAACAAAAAAAAAAAAAACTTTCATACACACTTTGTATGTAGGCATATACTAGTAATTATTAATAAAAGTGTGTTATTAATTGCAAATTTTCTGTTTAAACGGGCTTTTGTAATGGAGATTGTAAAGTCTGGACTATTAAGTTATTAATGTTGGGAGAAAACTAATCTTGTTGCACTAAAGAACTTTATGGAGGTGTAATTATAAAAACTGGCCCCTTAGCACACCCTAATGAATATGCTAATTGGCTCTTTTTTTTTGGTTTGTCTTATTATTTTGAAAATATAGTAAAACCAACTTTGACAGAGGTGATGCCATTTAGTACTACGGTTTAGTGGTATTCATTTTTACTCGTAAGCGAGAGGTCTTAGGTTCAATTATTGCCAAAGGTGAATTTGAACTACATTATTGCTAAACTATTATGAGGCTAAACCCACATTCTTCCCTTATTGTAGATAATATCATTAGTTTGGAAAAAAAGAACTTTAACAAAGGTGATAGAGAGAAGGACGTCAAAGAGAGAGAAGGGCATAGGTGTATGAGAATTATATGTTCACTTCATGGCCTTGTACCTTTATTTATACTAATCATGATACTCTTTTTTTTACCTTACAAATAATACAAAGCCTATGAGAATTTGATCTACAAATTTTATTGGGATTCTATTTCCATCCAAGATAGAAATTTTACCCGTCATTAGAGGGCTTTCTGCCCAACAAGAAATGTAACATGACCATTTTATCTTTGCATCTCCCATTAGAGGTGCTCTTACTCACGATTCTCGCCTTACAAAAAGTTCAGATACAATTCGTTTATGATATGATCGGCTAAAAATGAAAATAAATTAATAAAATCTTGTATAAAGAAAAAATACCGTATTACATATGGTAAAGTAGTTTGTGGGGAAATAAGAGAACGCGAAATTTTGGATAAAACTCTTTTGAATCAATTTATACAATCAAAAAAGGGTTTGGATAAAACTCCTTTGAATCAATTTGTACGATAAAAAATGGGTTTCTTACGGTATCAATGCAGGGTCATACTTGCATGTTCATTCTGGCATCTTAGAGCATCTCTAATGGAGGATATCAAAAGATAGATGTCAAATGTTAATTTGATGACTGACGTGATAATGTCAGATTTTCTCTTCTTCAATTGGATGATTTTTGTTATAA